GACTTATTTTGCTAAGCATTATACTCGCTAGCTCTATACATGTCATTGCAAATGGCAAGATTTCATTCTTTTTATGGCTGAATAATATTCCATTGTATGTATATACCACATCTTCTTTATGGATTAATTAATGGATAGACACTTGAGCCGCTATTGTAAAGAATGTTGCTATAAACATAGGGGTGGATGTATTCCTTCCAATTAGTGTTCTTATATTATTTGGGTAAATACCTAGTAGTGCAATTGCTGGGTCATAAGGTAGTTCTATTTTTAACGTTTTGAAGAACCTCCATACTGTTTTCCACAGTGGCTGAACCACTTTGCATTCCCAATAGCACAAATATTCCTTTATCGCCACATCCTTTTGCCAACACCTGTTTTTTGTGTTGCCTCTCACTTGATGATGTTATTGTGACCATTTGTAAATTAACATGTTTTATTATTGATCCCAGCAAGCTTGCATATTAATTAACTTTAGTAAAAATGAGAAAATTTACACTTGGCTAAACTGGGGGTAAATGATACTAGAAGGGATATTATATTCCTATTTCCCAAATTAAGAAAATCAGGCTCAAAATATTAAGTAACTAACTGAAAGTCCTACACTGAGTGGTGAAACTGAGACAGTCACCCAAGTCCATCTTAGGTCAGCATCTATGTTATTTATAGTATCTCTCTCTCCTTTTCCTAGAATGCAAATTTTTATATACCCACCCCTTTGTTAGAAAATGGTGTGATTCTTTCTTTATGGTTTGGGAACCAAAATTACCATTGAATGCACAAGGGAAGTTTAATAAAATCATCCATTATTTAATGGAGTCTACACCCTGATTCCAAAGCCTGGAAGAGAAAGTATTCTACATGCATAGAGAAATATGGATCTATTTCACTTATTAACATAGGTTAAATTTTTTTCAATTAAGTTTGAACAAAATTCAACAGTATGTAAAAATCTACCATACCCTGGTATTTTCCTAGTCATGAGAACACGGTGTAATATTAGGAATATTTTAACATTTTAATAATCTATTATAACCATAAGCCAAAGGACAAAAAGCATATGATCATCTGAATTACTGAACAAAGAATTCAATAAATTCAAACTCTGCAGTTTACTTAGTTCTTGTTTACTTGATCTGCCATCAGCTGAAAATTAAGTTAAAATCCTCTACTACTATACATGTCTAATTCCTTATCTAAAAGTCTTAAGACCAAATATTTCAGAATTCATGCACCATATTTACATAAGATCCATACCAGGGTCTGGAGTAATACTACTGAACATAATACAACATATTTCTGCAGTGAAACATATAAATTATCGCTCTTAAGATATATAAAGATTGCAAATAGCCTCATGTCAGTTCAGGTCAAATTTTATGAGCAAATGAATCAGGAAAATTAAGTTCAGTTTTCAAAGCATTTTCAGTTTTAAAATTGCCTATAAGGAAGGGATTGTGAGTCTAAAGTATATGTCAGTTCTTCTTGCCTTTTATAAGGTTTCTTCTTTTAAGTTCGCATTTATTTTTCACTGAAGTAGAAAATACAAAAAGAATGCGTAAATTATAAGGGGCAACAACTTGATGATTTTTACTAAGTGAAAACATGAATCACCAGGACTAAGATATAGAACATTACTGGCACCCCTAGAAACCTGTATTAGGCCCCCCATGTAGTCATTACACCCAAGTTAACCACTATATTGATGTATGTCACTATATATTCATTTATCTGTTTTTTAAACTTTATATAAACAAAATTGTCAATTGTGTACCTTTTAATGATTGCCTTTGTGCAATACTTTGATTTTGGGACCTCTTCATATTTGCTGTATGTAGGGATATTTGCTTCGTGTCTGTACGGTATCCTATGCTATATATATACACAACACTATTTATTCATTCAGCTCTTGATAGATGTTCAGATTTCCAGTTCATGTCTATCATCAGTAATGATGCTGTGAATGTTTTTATTTATGTGTTTTGAAGAATGTGTTTGCATTTCTTTTTGCTATATACATGGATTGTGTGGTAGTCAGAATTCTATGAGGATGCTCAGTGAACCTTGTCTTTACACAGTCTCCTCCCATTTGGTGTGGGTGGAACCTGTGGACATGATGAGATATGACTCTCATTATGTTGTATAGCAAAAAGGATTTTGCAGATGTAATTAAGGTCACAATCAGTTGACCTTAAAATGGGGAGATTGGGGTGGGCCAGACCTAATCAGGGGAACACTTACCCTTGTAATTGTCTAGGCCCAACCTGAGAGATTTGAAGCATGAGAGAGCATTTTCAGGGGCACATAATTAGGAACTACATGCAGTTGCTAGGAGAGGAGTGCTGTCCCCAGGTGACAGCCAGCGAGGGAAAGTTTACTCAGTCCTCCAGTAGCCTAGAACTGAATTCAGCTGACAGCATGGATATGTTTAGAAGAGACTCCTCAAGAGCCTACAGAAAGGGACACAGCAAGTCCACTGCCATCTCATTGTGTGAGACTGATCAGGGAATCCAGTCACACTGGGCATAGACTTCTGACCTATACAATTGGGAGCTAATAAATAGGGGTTGTTTTAAGCTGTTAAGAGGGTGATCATTTATTCTACACCAATAGAAAGCTAATACAGATTTTGATACCTGAATGTGGGGCACCACCATTGCAAACAGCTAAAAATGTAGGTGTGGCTATGGAACAAGGTAGTGGGCAAGGACTGAAGGAATTTTGAGTTACATGCTAGGGGAGGCCTAAGTGGCCTCAGAAAAAGCCCTGATTGCCTTGGACAGACTGTTAGTAGAAATCAGCTAAATTTCCAAACTGCTTTGGGACCCTAACTCCTCTCTGCCTTCCATTCCCATCCCCAGCCTACCCCATATTAAACCGGAATGTTATATGTATTATTATATGCTTGTCCCAGCATTGTGTGCTGGGGGAAGATAGTTTGTTAGTGCCACTGGGGCCAGTTAGAAAGGTATCGTAACCCAGGAGTTGTACTGCATGGATTTTACCCAGCTCATTCATGCTTGATTTAGATGACTGGGATAAGATTCTGGACTTTGAGATGATGAAATTTAACTTTTTTATAGTTTATTTTTGAGACAGAGACAGAGCATGAGCGGGGGAGGGGCAGAGATCTCGGGTCATGATCTCACGGTCCGTGGGTTTGAGCCCCATGTTGGGCTCTGTGCTGACAGCTAGCTCAGAGCCTGGAGACTGCTTCAGATTCTGTGTCTCCCTCTCTCTGACCCTCCCCTGCTCTCTCTGTCTCTGTATCTCTCAGAAATAAAAACATTTTAAAAAATTAAAAAATAAAAATAAAAGATGTTGCTCCACAACACTATAGTATAGAATGGTAGATGACCAGAACATTCTTCATTGAAGTCCATCCTGTACTTCATCACTATTTCATTTTCTATGTTCCATTTTTATTTTATTATATGATATTTATTACTATGTCGGAAAAAACATAAGTGTTGATCAATATAGCAATGTTTGAAAATGTAAGCTTCCTCCATAAAAGGAACATTTTGTAGTTACGCTTGCCTTGTGGAAACCTATTTATTGATATGGAAAGTGTGTTTTCTAGACCCAAATGGCAGGTTACAAAATAATATGTATGCATAAATAGTACCATTTTATGAAACAAAAGAACTACGAACTATTTAAAAATGGCCATTTTCCCAAAAATAATGAAAGATTTCCAATAATTAGATTCTAAGTTTCCTAGTTTAGGTTCTATTTGCTTTTCTGCTTGGGGTTCTGAGCATGCAATAGTAATGATTTTTGTAATAATGACTAAACATTAGTGTCCAGGGAAAGCTGGGTAGCTCACTTGGTTAAGCATCTGACTTTTGATTTCAGCTCAGGTCATGATCCCACCATTCCTGGGACTAAGCCCCACCTCATTCTCTGCGCTGCCAGCATGGAGCCTGTTTGATATTCTCTCTCTCTCTCCCTCCCTCTGCCACTCTCCCTCACTAGTGTTCACTCTCTCAAAATAAATAAATTTTAAAAAATAAAAATTAGTGTCTAAATATTAAACTTTAAGTCTGCATCACTGCATAATGGAGAACTGTAGCCAAGAATGTTGACTGGGTCAAATACATTAATGTACACTCATCAGTGGATTACTATACAGCCCACACAAATGATGTATATTTAAGGACAGTGTTATCCTTAATCCTGGGCAACTCCAGTCCATGCCTCAGGAGATAAGGCAGGGGGAAGCATGTTACTTCAAAATACACCTCTGGTGCATGGCAGCAGTGCTGAACATCCTGAGCTAAGACACCATAAGACCCATCCTTTTCCTTGATTTCATGCTGCTTTCAAGACTGTAGTGAAGGGTCATTCAGATGCCGGGAGGAGTCCGTGATTGTTGCTTCTGGAGTCACACATGGGCCCAGTGTCCTGACAGAGTCCAGGAGGATGCCTGGCTCAGGGGTATCTTCTTTTGGCCAGTGTGGTGTTTCTTTAAAGCCACTGTTCTAAAGTTTCACCACCAGAATGATGCTGACGACCTACACTGATTTGAGGGTGACTTAAACTGTTTATACAGAGAACATCGTCATCCCAATCTCCTCACTCGAAACGCGCGCTTGTACACATACACACACACACACACTCGAAACGCACGCTTGTACACACGCACACTCAAAACGCGCGCTTGTACACACACCCGAAACGCGTGCTTGTACACACACACACCCGAAACGCGTGCTTGTACACACACACACTCGAAACACGCGCTTGTACACACACACACACACACACGCCCAGGTATGGATGGAAATTCACATCCGGGTACTAGCAGCAAAAGACTCCAGAACCGCGGAGCACATTTTCAGGTTTGGCGCCAGACGGAGCCAGGTTGGCCCGCTTCCCTAGACGAGAGCCACGTGATACCAGCCAACCAATCAGAAGCAGAGCTCCGATTCGGCTCCGCCTACCATCCTCACTCCTTCAGCCGGAGCTCTAGCTAGACGGTGTCTGAGGCTAACGCTCTTGCGTCTCTGAGGGAGAACCTGGCATCATGGTCCCTCTATCGTCCAAGGAGAAGGCACAGAAGCAAAAGCGGGGTGAGATGCCCACAGGGCCCAAGAATGAGATCTCCCCTGCCCCTGGCGATGCCCACAGGACAGGCAACCCCGATCCCAATGCCGATTCCCCCAGATTGAGCGATCTATCTCCGTTGGGGGGTGGCGCCCCACACAGCGTTCCTGGCTGGCTTGGGCGCCATTTTGAGCACCAGCGAGTATCTGGGGCTGCCCTCCGCGGGCCCTGAGGGAGCGTGAAGACCTCCAGGGCGGCCGTGGTCCCTAATGAAAGCTGAGATGTGTGGTGCCGGAGACGTGCCAGAGTCTCCGGGCCTCACATGCTGGCGGCGTGGCCGTCATGGGATGAGCCCTGAGGGACGCCGGCCAGGCCGGCAGCCACCCCACCCCCAACCCGTCCACGAGTCAGAGTTCGGGGAACTGCCGTGGGAGGGAGCAGCCCGGGGGAATAGGCGTGGGAGGGAGCAGCCCAGTGGCAAGGAGGCTGCCCAGGTTCAGAAGCCTCCACGGCGCGCTGTTTCCTGGGTTTCCCAGGCCTTAGTGCCCCGTGTCCTTGCCGCCATTTTCTCCAGGGTCTCAGCCTAGCGGTCGCCGCCATTCTCGGGCTTCTTCGTGGGGTAACGAGTCCCGGCCGGGTCCTGCCCTCCGGAGTCAGGCCAGAGCAGCAGGCCCAGTTCTCCGCAGTCAAGCAGCCAGGCCAGGCCCTGCAGTCTTCAATGGCCGTGCCCCACCGCCAGGTCCCGCCTTCCCCAGCCATGCTTCCAGGTTGGGCACTGCTTTTTGCAGTCGTTCACGTGCACCAGGTCCTGCCTTCCGAGGTAGTGCTTCCGTGCCAGGCCGTTCTCTCCCGGTTCGCCACTCATCCACGTCAGGCCCTGCTGCCGCAAAGCGCCCAGCTCCTCACCGCCGTGCATCCGCGCCAGGCCCAGCTTCCAGCAGCTGCGCGTCCGCGCCGGGGCCAGCTCCCCGCCGCCGTGAGTCCGCCTCCGGTCCAGCTCCTCGCCGCCGTGAGTCCGCCACCGGTCCAGCTCCTCGCCGCCGTGAGTCCGCCACCGGTCCAGCTCCTCGCCGCCGTGAGTCCGCCACCGGTCCAGCTCCTCGCCGCCGTGAGTCCGCCACCGGTCCAGCTCCCCGCAGCCGTGCAACCGCGCCTGGCTCAGCTCAACGCCGCCGTGCATCCGCACCGGGCCCTGCCCCTAGCTCTACTTCCCGTGGCGGTGCATCTGGGCCAAGCCCTGCTCACCGCCGCCGTGCATCCGCGCCGGGCCCTGCCCCTAGCTCTGCTTCCCGTGGCCGTGCATCTAGGCCAAGCTCTGGTCTTCGCAGCCGTGCATCCGGATCAGGCCCTGCCCTCCAAAGCAGAGCCAATCCGCTAGGCCCTGCCCTCCGCAATGGCTGCACAACTCCAGGCCATGTCCTCCCGAGCCACCCTACCCAGAGGTCATACCGTAGAAGCCGCCTGTCTCTGCCTGTGCCTACTGGCCTGAATCCTTCTCCCGGGTTGGCCTCAGGAGAGCTTGTGTCCCAGAGCAACTCAGGCTCTCCTGATGTATCAAACCGTGATTCCCAGCCCCGTTGGCATGCAGTCCGTATGCGGGCCTCCTCTCCCTCACCTCCTGGTAGGCTCTTTCCTTTCTATGAGCCGCAAGAGGAGAGCTCCTCCTCTTCCTCCTGCTCCTCTTCCTTTTCCTCCTCCAATAATTGTTTTGACCAATGCTCTTCTTCCCCTAAGTTTTGTGGTGTGGGCTCAGTCTCCACTCCTAGTCCTGCAAGGCTGAGGCGTGCCTTGCTGCCAGAGTTTGAAGCCCTGAGCCCTCTCTCTTCAGGAGAACAGGAGAAAATAGGGAATGAGCCTTCCCCCACTACACACCCTGGGGTGTGAGCTACCTTGATATACTCCTAAAACCACAAAAGGAATTATGCACCCACTGACCTGAAGGGTCTACAGTTTCCTTTGAGGTTTACAAGTGTTCTAGCCATTAACTGACATTATGAGAAATTTTGTTGCTTTTTGGTGAGTAGTTTTGAAGCCTCTCCTTCCCATAACAGCACTACCTAGCACTTATCTGCTGTTGGCCCTTAATTTCAGGCCTGCTTTTTCCTCAAAAAGGCCTCCCTTTGCCCCTGAGTTGAGATTGCCTTTTTCCAAGTTACGTTTATAGAATGAAATTTTTGAATGAATAAAATAAAAATGTTTGACTTCATTTTTAAGATGTGTTTTTTTTTGGTCCAAAAAACTGTTATTCCTTGTTGATTTAGAGGATTAAAGACATTTGTTAGCATGCTAGCAGAACTCTGGAAGTGAGAGAGAATAAAATACTATCCTAGCAATCATTTATTTCTGCTATCTAAAATGGAATTTTATCCAGGAAATTCCCATTTATATGCTATATACCTTCTTAGCATGTGATTTGCAAACTTGGACAAGAAAAGGGGGCAGGGTTCAACCCAAGAAGGGGCGATGGAGATATCCAAGGTCAGGAAGGAGACAGGATATGATTATGTGGTGTGTGTGTGTGTGTATTGGGGGAATATTTCCTCCTAAAATGGGAGTAGGAGTGCTGAAAGGAAGCCTCAGGAAGGAGGAGAACAGCAGGAGTCAGGAGCAGCAAGGGAGGAAGGTCTCAGTTTGTAGAAGACGAAATAATTGAAGTGTTGGGAAAGGGGACTCCTGAGGTCTGTGTGGGGAAGGGGAAGGTCTTGTAGGGCTATTCAAGGTTAATGATGTGAAAATGGTTAGTGAAAAAATGTGTTAATGGATAATCACATTTTAAAAAACAATTATGAGTAAATTTGTGACCAGGTATGAGAGGGTGTGTGTATGTAGACATATTAGGAAAAAACTGGATGAACATGCACCACCATTCTGTAAACGGTATATATATCCAGTTTTTGGAATAACTGATATGATCTTTTATGTGCTACATTTTATACCTCTATCATATTGCTAGTTTTGTAATGAAACTCAGCTGTTTTCCAAGAAGTTAAGTTGTGAAATTAGTGGGAGAATACATTAAAGGAATGAAGTGAAAAAAATAATAAGCCCAGTCAGTAAAAGGAACTCCATCTTACTACTTTGCCATATTTCTCCTCTTTGCTTTTCTGCTATATGCCCAATAGTAGCATAGACCTGGCCAAAAAGGGCCATCTTCCTGGAACACACATTTTAGAGGTTCTTGCCTAGGCCTTCTTCATGCTGTATTCAGATCATAGAGCTAGCAATCCTCAGGAACGATGGGATGAGCCCACCAGGTCCCAACACCCTGCAATTATTGTAGAAAATGTTTTAGGTTCCCTCATTCCCCAAGGCTGTTTCAGATTCTATAGGGCCCTAAGGGAGAGGTCTGAGTCTATGGTATACATACTCTTAGGCCCAAAAGGTTACCAAGAGGCCACTGTTTGTAAAAGGAAAGGGTATACAAAGCTTGATGCTATAGGCTGAGGTATTCTTGTGGTTAGGTGTAAGACACATCTTGATGTAGTACATAGCTGGCAATGGAAAGAGAACAAGGACATGGGCCAATGGCCTTAATTTGTACTTTTGCCTAAGACACACTACAAATGTTAGTGACTGGCCTGTGTGTATAATTAGCTCTCTAGCCCAGCCCCAGAGAATTAGAGACATCCAGGGATATGTATCTAGGAACCCACACCTTGTCCCTGGAGGTGGCTATGACCACAAAACACCCCCTATTTATCTAAGATGTTGGGGGGAAGCATTAGTTCAGGTCCTAGGTCTGGTTTCTTCCTACAGTGAGCCAGCATTCAGTGGGTTGAATCAGAGATGCCACTACCTATTGCATACTAGTGTTTTAATGGATCTCCTGGGCATTTGATCTGCTTGGGAGTGGACCTTAATCCAATATTGTTTTAAGCTGGTGAATCAAAATATTGTATTCCCACCCATTCCCTTGTACTCCAGTCATGTATATCCAGCTACCTAATTGACTTTTCCATTTCAAATGGCTAAAAAGCATATCAAACTTCAGTAATAGGGAGTTATGTCCCGTAGAAAAATAATGCTAAGATGTGCCATCACTTCCTTTTCCTCCTGCACAGATACTGGTACCATGTAGGTAATATGACTGGTGGTGATTTGTCCTCATCTACTTGAATTTTGGGGTTTTAAGGGATGTCTTGTAACCCAGATTTTTTGTTAAATATTATCTGTTCATTTTGCTTTTCTCTCTATTTGCTCTGTTTTTATATGTTTGGAGAGATTGAAAAACTATATAGCCACTACTGCCACCATCTTCCTAGAACCTCTACCACCAAGTGTCCTTACTCCTTGAAAAATATGCCACCTCCTCCTTAGGTATTGCTGCAATGTCTACTGATAACAAAGTTTATAGTCACCCCTTTGCTAGCTCTCAAAAGAACACAATGGGAATTATCATCTGTACTAAACTGGAGTAAAAGGAAAAAAGGTTTAAATTTAGGAATCAGAACAGAAACCTATTGGGCATGCCACTAAAAATCTTTAGAACTAAAGGAAATATTTTTGGGGAACACATTTCAAAAACTTTTACTTTATTATCTTACTTTGTTGATTCACAAACTGGTTCCTGTATACAGAAGGCAAAGAGAAACTGAAGAATGAAGAAGACCACTCCAGATTGGTAAGTGGCAGCCTTAACAAGCAAGGGAACATACATATGAGGCTTGTCTTGGGTGGCTGAGTATATCTCCTCAGCTGCCAACAGGAATCTTAATAGTTTATATAGAGGCCTGAAATGGGTTCAGTCACATATACTGATCAGATGGTCTCAATAACACATTGCTCTCTAGGGCTGCATTCTTTTTTTTTTTTTAAATGTTATTTATCTTTTTGAGAGAGAGAGAGATAGCAGGGGAGGTGCAGAGAGAGAGGGAGACACAGAATCCAGAGCAGGCTTCAGGCTCCAAATTGTCAGCATAGAGCCTGATGAGGGGCTCAAACTTTGGAAATGCAAGATCATGACCTGAGCCAAAGTCTGATGCTTAACCAGCTGAGCCACCCAGATGCCCTTCTAAGGCTGCATTCTTGAAGACAGCTCCGGTTGTGGGAATGGTAGGCAAAACATACATTCCAAGGACGGGGTGAGGGTGAAGAACCTCTGATTTCCCAGGACCAGCTCATATGTCAGCTGGTGGTCTCTTGATTACCCCCACCAACACACTTATTCTCAAAAAATTCAACAGATAACCAAAAACTGGAACAAGAAGTAGACAATTTTACTGAAGCAATTCTCATAACCTCCTGATATCAGAGAGACTACATTTATTCCCATTTTAAAGATGTGGAAATTAATGCTCAGAGCAATTTTTGTGACTCTTGAGATGTCATTGCTAGTAGAGGTTGGCTCTGGAGTCAGAATTCATAGATTTGAATTCTTGTTTTCCTATTAACTCACTGTTGTTCCTGGGCAACTTAGTTAACCTGGGATCCTAAATTTCATCATTTGTCAATTAGGAACAATAAGAATGCATCCATCCTAGATTTTTGTAAGGATTAAAATGGGTGGTGTATGTTAAGTGCTTCTAACAGTGTCTGGCACATAGTGACTAGTAAAGATCATTCTTATTCTGATTATGATTATGATTATGTACCCAGATATTTCTGACTCCAACAGCTTTAACACATTACCAGTCTTTCCGAATCAGTAATACTTTATTTAAATTTTTTTATTTTAAAAAATTAATGTTTGTTTACTTTTGAGAGAGAGAGAGAGAGAGAGGGAGAGAGAGAGAGAAAGAGAGGCAGAATACAGGCAGAGGAGAAGCAGAGAGAGTGGGAGACACAGAATCTGAAGCAGGCTCCAGGCTCCAAACTGTCAGCACAGAGCCCACCATGGGTCTCCAACCCACGAACCATGAAATCATGACCTGAGCCCAAGTTGGACACTCGACCGACTGAGCCACCCAGGTGACCCTTTAATTTTTTTATTTTAGAGAGAGAGAGAACACAAGAGGGGGAGAGGGGCAGAGGGAGAGAGAGTATCTCAAGCAGGCTCCCAGGCCCAGTGCAGAGCACGATGTGGGGCTGGTCCCACAACACTGGGATCAGGACCTTAGCCAAAATCAGAGTTGGACTCTCAACTGACTGAACGATCCTGGCACCCCACCAGTCAATAACACTTTATTTGTTTTTAATTTTTTAGTGTTTTTTTTTTTTTTTTTTTTTTAGAGAGAGAGACAGCCTGGGCGCCTGGGTGGCTTAGTCGGTTAAGCGTCNGGGAGGGTCAGAGAGAGAAGGAGATACAGAATCTGAAGCAGGCTCCAGGCTCTGAGCTAGCTGTCAGCACAGAGCCTGATGCGGGGCTCTAACCCACGAACTGTGAGATCATGACCTGAGCCGAAGTCATACGCTCAGCGGACTGAGCCACCCAGGCACCCCTTTTTTAATTTTTTAAATGTTTATTTTTGAGACAAAGAGACAGATCATGAACAGGAGAGGGATAGAGAGAGAGGGGAAGACACAGAATCTGAACCAGGTGGGGCGCCTGGGTGGCTTAGTCGGTTAAGCGTCCGACTTTCGCTTGGGTCATGATCTCGCGGTTCATGGGGTTCGAGGCCCGCGTCGGGTTCTGTGCTGACTGCCAGCTCAGAGCCTGGAGCCTGTTTCAGTCTGTGACTCCCTCTCTCTCTGACCCTCCCCTGCTCACGCCGTCTCTCTCTCTCTCCTAAAAATAAATAAAACATTAAAAAAAAAAAAAAAGAATCTGAACCAGGCTCCAGGGTCTGAGCTGCCAGCACAGAGCCGGATGCGGGGCTTGAACCCACTGATCGTGAGATCATGACCTGAGCCAAAGTTGGACACTCAATCGACTGAGCCACCCAGGGGCCCCTCAATAACACTTTAAAATCACAGGGTTGCTGGGTGGCTCAGTCAGTTAAGCGTCTGATTTCGGCACAGGTCATGTTCTCATGGTTCATGAGTTTGAGCCCCTCACCAGGGTCTCTGCTGTCAGTGCAGAGCCTGCTTCAGATCCTCTGTCTCCATATCTCTCTGCCTCTCTCTCCCTTCCCCCCAAAATAAACTTAAATAAAAAAAGACAGACAGGATCCAATCCTGGCTCTCATTAGCCATTTCAAAGATGGAAAGGACAGCGGCACCTGGGTGGCTCAAATGATTAAGTGTCCAACTCTTGATTTCAGCTCAGGACATGATCTCTCAGTTCAAGAGATCAAGCCCCCCATCAGGCTTTGCTCTGAGTGTGAAGCT